GTATTGAACCTAATTCTTTCATACCATTATTCCAACAAGCACTTCCTTTCCTATTTCGCTAGATTTGTCTTTACTTTTTCCATGCTTATCCCTACTATCTGACCATTCTCTTTAAATAGAGCTTAGCTATTTATTGCTTATTAATTATTGTCTTTGTCCCTCCCCACTATTCCTTACCTACCCTTAACCTTTCCTCCACTCCAAACACACACACACATTCACATTAAACTGGAAGCTCCGTATCTTATTCACTGCAATGATCCTGCAGAGAACAGTGCCTGATACATAGTAAAGGCTCAGTATATATGTACTGAATGACTAAAATGAATGAACAGTATATCTTTATGTCAGATCAAATGTCTCTTCACTTCCATACCATCAATTTTGTTTGTACATCTCTTATCACACTCCATCCTATAATACAGTTCCTGGTCCAGGTGTGTTGGGCAGCTGCCATTTTCTATATTCATGGCAAAACCCTTAAGATCACATTCATCATCAAATCTTCCAAAGACCTAGCATATTCCATTGTATGTAGGAGGTACCCAGTAGGCTAACTAATTAAAAACTCCCAGGGGAAAAAACTCAAAAAGAGCTTCTAGATCTTCTGGATGCTAAAACGAGTTATTCCTAGATTGCAACTAAGAAAATTTTCAAGTCTACTCTTTATCAGTTCAAGTTGTCCCTAGATTGCTAAGAGAGTTTCAAGTCTACTTATCATTTCATTATTACAAGGTAACTTTTAATGATATCAATCTACAATAATCTAGCTTGTTTATTCACACTGCAAGGCACTGACCACTGGGGATACAAAGGTGATTAAGATACTGCCCCTCCATGAGGAAGCTCACAGTCTAATGGGAGAGGGTGACACTGACATAATAAATGGAATGCTGTATAAAAGGTCCAATAGTTTAAACACATATGATGAAGTGAAGGAATAGAGGAAGAGGTCAACTTTCCTGGGGAGATCAAAAAGGTCCTTGAAAGGACTGAGTTGGGCTTTTTTTTTTCTCCATTTTTCTGTATTTCATCTAATTTAATTTTTTGAGTAGTTAATGTTTTCACATGGTTCAAAATTTGAAAAGAATAAAAAGATAATAAAAAGATAAAACCAACAACAAATGCTGGTGAGGATGTAGAGCAATAGGAACTCTCATTCATTGCTAGTAGGAATGCAAAATGGTCAGCCACTCCAAAAGATAGTTTGGTAGTTTCTTACAAAACATAACATACTCTTACCAAATCATCCAACAATCATACTCCAGGGTATTTACCCAAATGAATTGAAAATTTACATCCACACAAAAACCTACACATGGATGTTTATAGAAGCTTTATTCATAATTGCCAAAACTTGGAAGCAACCAAGACATCCTTCAGTAAGTGAATGGATAAATAAACTGTGGTACATCCAACAATGGAATATTATTACATGCTAAAAAGAAATGAGCTATCAAGTCATAAAAAAACATTAAAAAACCTTAAATTCTTATTACTGAGTGAAGGAAGCATATCTGAAAAGGATGCATACTGTATGATTCCAACCATATGACCAGTCTGGAAAAGACAAACCCATGGAGACAGTAAAAAGATCAGTGGTTACCTGAGGTTAGGGGAAAAAAAGGGATAAATAGGCAGAGCACGGAGGATTTTAGGGCAATGAAACTGTTCCATATGATACTATACCAATGGACACATGTCATTATGAGTTTGTCAAAACCCATAAAATGTACAACACCAAGAGTGTACCCTAATGTCAAATATGGATTTTGGGCAATGATGATGTGTCAGTGTAGATTCATCAGTTGTAATGAATGTACCATTCAGATTGGGATTTTGATGGGGGAAGCTGTAATGTGTGGGGCAGGAGGTATAAGGGTATAGGAGAACGCTATGTACTTTCCAATTAATTTTGCTGTAAATTTTTTTTTTTTTTATTTGAGAGAGAGACAGACAGACAGTGACAGAGATAGCAAGAGAGAGCACAAGCCGGGAGGAGAGGGAGAAGCAGGCTCCCCACTGAGCAGGGAGCCCAACACGGGGCTCGATCCCAGGACCCTGGGATCATGACCTGAGCAGAAGGCAGATGCTCAACCGACTGAGCCACCCAAGCACCCCAATTTTGCTGTAAATCTAAAAGTTCTCTAAAAAATAAAGTCTATTTTAAAAAAAGACAAAGAAAATAGAGTGAAAAGTATTGTTCTCGTCCTTGACACCTGGCTGCTCAAGTCTCCTCTCTACAGGCACCAAAGACTCCAGTTTCCTGAGTATATTTCTAGGGATTTTGAGGTCTATGCAAACTATCTGTACCATATATCATATCTACAGATATGATTTCCCTCCTTCTCCCTCAAATGGTAGTATATGACACATTCTGTTTCGCACCTTTTTTCACCTAATGATTTACCTTGGAGATTTTTCCATACTGGTCCATGGTTTATGTCTCTTACCAAAACATTTTGGCTAATATCTTGGCAACGACATTAAACAACAATTGTGGTGATAATGAATATTCTTATTTTGTTCCAAAGGAAGCTGAATCTTAAAGGATAAATATGAATTAGAACTCTTCTGATTTTTTCTTTTATTATTTTTTGTTTTTTGTTTTTAATTTTATTATGTTATGTTAATCACCATACATTACATCATTAGTTTTTGATAGAACTCTTTTGATTTTAAGTAACAGAAACCAACTAAAGCATGTTTAAGCAAAATCGGGGGCATGTGTTATATAGAGAGATGGTGTCTCAACAATTCAAGGGCAACAGAAACCATGGGAGTGCCCTCTATGTCCGGTGCTCCTCTTCGTCTGTTTCAGGGGCACCTGGGTGGCTCAGTCGTTAAGCGTCTGCTTTTGGCTCAGGTCATGATCCCAGGGTCCTGGGATCGAGCCCCACATTGGGCTCCCTGCTCAGCAGGAAGCCTGCTTCTCCCTCTCCCACTCCCCCTGCTTGTGTTCCCTCTCTTGCTGTGTCTCTCTCTGTCAAATAAATAAATAAAAAATCTTAAAAAAAAATGCATATGTCTGTTTCATTCTTTCTTCTTAGCTTTCTCTGCCACTCAGTCACATTGGAGGAGGAAGATGATTCACTCACAGTCGCTAATTTGCATGTTACAGATCAAACCGCAAAGTCATATTTTCCTTCAGTCCAAAAAGAAAGGATTCTGACAGTTCCATTCTGGTCCAAATAACTGTGATGACAAGAAAAGGGTCACATTACAAACCTCACTGCTGGGGACACAGGTAAGGAACAAGTCCTTAATGACATAATTTTGAGCAGGGCATTTACTCTAAAGGCAAGTCTACTACAGCATACAAAAATACACATGTAAAAATAAACATGTATTTCAGGAAGCTACAAAGCAGTTGGTTGTGATTTCTTAAAGCATATGAGCTTCTTTAAGATCCTCTGGTGTAGGTTGGTTTCTCTGGAAGCAGAGCCTGAGACAGGGATTGAGATGAGTATCAACTACTGAGGGAGTGCACAAGAAAAACTAGTCAGGGAAAGAGTTCAGCAGAGCTGGAAAGAAGAAAAAGTGAGAAAGAATGTAGTCTCAGGTAAAGTCCAGTTGCGGCCTGATCTATAAGAATCCTCTGCAGAATTTTCTCTCCTTCAGATGAGAAGGCAGGCCTTTTGTAGCCCCTTGGCCATCAGTTACTGATGGGGGTGCCCAGCTTTTTTGTCAAGGCAGCTCCCATCAGCCGAGGGCAATTCCTTGGAGAAGGAGCCGTAGCTATGAGCTTTCACCAGTCAACAATCACAGCAGCTTTTGGGGAGACACTAAAACAGCAGCAACCACACCCTATGGTAATAAACTTTCTATCAAAACAGTGACAACATAAGGAGATATCCTGATGTTGCAACACTTGAAAAATATGCAAAAAGAGTTAGCTCTGTTGTGAAATCCTCTGCCCTTTTTTTTTTTTTTTTAAGTATGTTGGTAAGATTGATAGATATCTTAATAGTGGTTTCAAGAACATGAAGGGTTAACATGGCACATGATACTAATAGTTGCTAATTATCTCCTTATAAAAACAAATAAAAGAAAATGAGCTTTTAGAACTTTGTGTCTGACAGGTTTTATTTTACATCCTCCTAAAAGTATAAA